TAAGGGTGGGGTCTATATCAATTAGGACGTTTTAGGTTGTTTTCTAAAAACGTTTCTATGTTTGTAGAGATGAAATTTCCTCGTCTCTAGCAATGTCTTAAATAAACCATGTACGCTTTAAAAAAACGACTCTATATTTTTGAGACGGTCAAAACGGAGACGTTTCTATAACACTTTACAAAAATGACTCAATTGTTTGTGGGAGACGAAACAAAACATCTAAAAACTACAAACAAGGTGTCTTCTTTAGGGGTGGTTTGTTGTAGTGACATGGTTCTCCGTAGGACCGTGCTGCTGGCATATCCCATCATTTGGTCGGCGATGTACATCCCTACAAAACATGGAATCGAAAATTGTAGTGTACTAACATACTGGAACTAAAATATTTTGTGGTAAATTATAAGTTGTACCTGTTGTTTATGGTTACATGATTGGTGGTTGACTGAAGGACCAATATCCTTGGCCTAACATCTCCAAAAAGCTTGGTCCTTGTGGTTGTGCGTTTTTATTTATGGACATTTGGTACATCCTCCGCAGGTGCAGCGCTAATTTAATATAGCAATATAAAGATCGTCAAAAATGAAACACATTATGTACAAAGCAATGTTGTATGAAGCTCCATGCCACTGATCGTTCATACCCGTTGGAAACATGGGCATGCTAACTTGAGGTACATTTGCAAAAAGCAAATATGTTTGTGACTTAGTAAATTACAAAATGATGAACATTAACATGTGTGTTTATTGAACTATCGGAAAACGCTGCATGCCCTGGAAGGAACTGCGAGCTTCCATCTTCTATACGCATCGGAGGAACCATCTGGCTGGATCCTGCGAACCACGCAAACCCTCCCTGCCATTCACTGGTGGCACTTGCATGCGGAATTGAAGGGATCACTGTTATACTACCTGCAATAATCTCTATAGGTGAATATTGAATTCAAAAATAGCACCAGTTGATCCATGTCAACAACAAAAGCAGGACCGTCCCATGGAGAAAAATAGTAAAGCTTGGTTTTTCTGGAGCTTTTCAACGCCTGCCTCACATGTGTGAGAGAACAAAGAAAATTAAAAAAATGCATAGGGAATAGAACTAACAATAGAGCTATCGAAATAGAAGGCTTTCCAAGCAATCCATTGTCCCACACGGCACATAACTGTAGAAAGGTTTGAAAAGTTCAGAAAACAAAAGGCAAAACCACCACCTAATTTTGGTATTTTCCGAAAATTAGTCCATAAAAATAGTGTGTATTGTACTTTTAAGTCCCAAGATTAAATTAGCATTGGGTACAATAATTGATTCTATAAGTTAGGATACTTGACTATGGATGAAAAAGAGCTAAATTTTTGGACGATTTTCAAATACGTAGAGCTTTTGTTTAATTTAGAGAAATGTTACCATAACTATAATGCTTAAAAATAATTCGTGCACCTAATATAATTCAAGTCCCACTGGGCGGGCATGCGGGAGCGCCGGTCTCGCGCTCCCAATGGCGGGAGCACGTCGGTCCTGCACGACCAATACACGCAATCGACCCAGTCCCGCATCGCCAAACAGCGCGACTGCGCTGGTCATGCTTCTCCAACCCGCACGACCATGTGGGTCCCGCGCAATTCACCGAATCATTGGTTGATTTGTTTTAACTATGCGCAAAAGTTTAGCAGCAATTTGTTTCTGCTAAAGTTTAGGAGTGATTGGATTTTTTTTTACTGTAGTAATGGCCTGAATTCATGGTCCGTTTCAAGCTGTTATACATGGACCTTAATGTTAGGCCATTGCCCTAACTTTCATCCCATATATATGGATGGCCGCACTGTCTATCCAAACCTTCATCCCATGTGTAACCACTAGTGTACAACTTCCTAGGCCATTGGAAGATGGGCCATGGTCTATTATTTTCTCTTATGACGAGGAAGATACTAGTTAAGATAGAGCATAGGTTCATCTTTGCATTCGTCTTATCACAAAGAAGACTAATTTGACTCCCTCAAATAGTCAAATATAGGATGGATATAATTCATGTCTCTCAATTATACAACTGGGTATATCAATTCATTCAACTATTTAAATTGATGTGAGACAACTCCCTCGTCTCATCTTCTTGCTCACCCCTCCCCTCTCTCTTTTTCTCTCTTCCTCATCAAGCTCGGATCTCCAGGGTAGCAACAGAGGCAGAAGTGAGGCAAACACAACCTTGGTTATCGTCGGCCTCCCAAGGTCCGAGCCGAGCGGAGTTGGGGACAAGGTCCTCCTTGAAGTTAACCAAGAAGCAGTTGCTGAGAGCGGGATGACTGACGGGCAGCAGCAGGGTAGACTCCCATCCTCATCCATTTCGCCTTGCCTCGATACCTCAAGGACTAGGCCTCCGCTGGCTCTTCACGCCACAGAGAGTGCTCTTCCTTCCTACTACACCGCACATAGTGTTGGTTGAAGATGGGAGGCGGTAGTGGCAGGAGGAAGTACCATGGAGAGGGGCTCGACGTGCACTAGACTATCAACGGAAAACTAAGGTTGTGGCCACCAAGGAGAGAGGTGCTCCCTATGGCCATCCATTAGAGTTCGTCATTGAGGTCAAAGACATCGACGCGGTGCTCCCTATGGCCATCCATTAGAGTTCGTCATTGAGGTCAAAGACATCGACGCGGTGCTCTAACGAGCCGTAGAGGATGCCCTCCTCATCGTTTGGGTTATATGTGAGGCTACCTATGTCAGATCTGAGCTCGAGCTCGTCATGGTTGGGGAAGATAGAGAAGGGAGAAGTAGGCACTAACATGTGGGACCCATGTTTTTTTTATTTTTTTCCCTTGTCACTTACATTTGAGCCCCACGTCTATTTTTATTTCCTTCAGTAACTTAGCTACCACATGGGTACCACATAAGTGAAAATCGCCCTTAAAATATCTATCATTTTCAAAGTTTTAATAATTGAAGGGATATATGTTTTGTGATTGAAGGATATAATTAAATAAAATCCGACAAATTGGACTTTTTTCCGTTCTGGTCACCTTCCAGGAGAACAACAATGCAAATCTAGCAGAAAAAAGCACAAGAAAGGTCCCTCATCTTGTCATCGGATTACAAAATCATTCCCCAACCGCAAAACAAATATATGTCATCCCTTAACTTACAAAACCGGATCACTTTGGATCCTTAGGCAGTTTTGATCCCGGTTTTATCCTACGTGGCAACTGAGTTAGTGTGGGCCCCATACGTCAGAGTGACCACGTCATCATCATCTGTTTTCCTCTTCTCTCCCTTCCTCCTTTCTCACCCGCGTGGCCTCCTCGGTGGTGTCGAACACGCCAAGCCACATGCGCACGCTCTGCTGCGAGATGTGGATCTCTGCCCCGTACTTCCTCCACGGCTGCTTCCTCACCCCGCGGAACTTCCTTTCTGGCACCACATCCGCACCCGCTGCCAAAGCCGCCGCGTCCACTGCCGCTTCCGTCTTCTTCACCGGACCGACACATTCTAGCTAGAGCTAGCCGCCGCTGGCACCACACCTGCCAGCTACTGCGCGATGTGGATCTCGTGCACGATCTGGGGAGGTGAGCCCGCCACGACGCATCATTGCCATCGTTGTCGCCGGATCTGGGGAGGTGGACGGTGGGAGGGAGTTGGAGAGGTGGTTGGAGGCGAGGTCGAGGACGGTGAGGAGAAAGGAAGAGGAGGGAGCAGCTACCTTTCTCGACGCGACGAAATTGGGTTGGGAGGAGGGGGGTGGCAATGGCGCCCGACGGTGGAGGGGAAGAGAAAGACAGAAAGGGACGGATCGGAGGGGGAAGAGGAGGGAGCCGGAGAGGAGGAAGGAGTATCTCCGCCCGCGCCGCTTTTTGTGCTGGCCGTCGCCCGCACCGCTTTATCTGCCAGCCGTGCCCGTGCCGCTTTCTCCGTCCGCCGCTGCCCGCCGCTATCTCCGTGTTGGCCGCCACACGAGCTGCTCTCTACGCCGGCCGCCGGCCGCCGGCCGCGCCGCTTTCTCTTGTCGATCTCGCACCCTCCATGAGATGGGGAATAGAGGAGGAGAGGGGGGAAGGGGAAGAAGAAGTTGAGGTGGTACTGACATGTGGATCCCACGTGGGTCCTACGCTAACTCAGCTGCCACGTAGGATAAAACCGGGGTCAATGCCGCTTAAGGACCCAGAGTGATCCGGTTTTATAAATTGACGGATGTCATATATCCGGTTTTTTGGTTGAGGGATGATTTTGTAATTCAGTGATAAGATGAGGGACGTAAGATATACTTTTTCCATCTAGCAGGCCGCAAGGACACAATATTGAGAACACAATTTACAGGGAAGAGGATTGAAGAAGGGAATAGCTATATATAGTCAGGATTCAGGAGACCTTTTGAAGGAACGACACCATCATACGAGCCCGCTACCCGCTCTTTTTTTTTTCCTTTTTGGGCGGCTGGAATGCAGTTTGCTGGCCACTTTTCACTAGTCGATCGGTGCTTGCACAATCCCGCGGATTAAAAGTGATATGAGATTACTTCACAATCTGTATGTTCACGTTCATCTACGCGAAGACAATATTGGTATATTTTCGAAATGGGTTCATGATTATGAACAAGTGTGAGAATAGTCATCTCTATGTCAAAGAAAAATCTAAACTGCAGAGTGCAAAGGCAGCTAACAGGTAGAAGCTTCTGACCTGTAGTAGCACACAAAGGCAGTTCTAAACTGAAACAAACTGTGCAAGACAAAACACTTCAGTGAACATACAGTAATTACTAGCAACAACAGTCAACGGCAGCACTCAATTGGCAGCACTCAATTGTTTAGTTCACACCAAAATTGGAAGTTTGGTTGAAATTAGAACGATGTGACGGAAAAATTGAAAGTTTATGTGTGTAGGAAAGTTTTGATGTGATGGAAAAGTTAGAAGTTTGAAGAAAAAGTTTGGAACTAAACAAGAGCATATTGGCATACAAAACTTTTATGCATTCACGAAAAAACACTGGCGCGCCATCAGGCTATGACGACGTTGTAGAGTTCTAGGCACACGAATCTTTGGTTAGGGCGTTTCAAGTTGGTACAAGCGCCACAGCTTAATTTCATGAGATGCTTCTGCATAATATGGACGAATTTAGTCCCAGGGAGCCTTGGCTCAATCGTACATGACCAAAGGACACTTTGTATATCTCGAGGCAAAAAAAACTAAACTACACCAATTGAACCACATGACCACCAATTAACTTGTGTGTGTTACTACTTAGGACAAATCTTTTTCTTTCAAAAAGACTACTAATGAGATCGATCAATCTGAGAGCATGTGGAGCAGCATGTCGTTCCAGGCATCGACCGGCCCCGGCAGGCACCAGTGGATGCAGTCATTGTACAGCACCCGCTTCTCGTCCGGCCAGTGGCCGTACCGGCTCGGGTGGCCGTCCGGCCGGAGCAGCATCGCGGCGGTGGGGTCCATGAGCACCATGTCCACCCCGTTCGCCGCCGCCTCCCTCTGCGCCTCCCTGAACTCCTCCACCTGCGACGTGTAGAATTCCAGGTCCATGCCTCCCATGGCCGTCTCGTTCCCCCTGTACGGCCGCGTCCGCCGGCAGTCGCCGCCCTTGTCCCACGCGCCGCCCTCGAAGTGCGACATCGGCGACAGCGTCCGCACGATCGCCTTCCCCCTGAACCTGATGTCGTTGATGGCCCGGAGCGCCGTCCGGAACGCCATCCGGTGGGAGTGCCGCAGCGTCAGGTCGCTGGTGATGTTGAGCGCCACGTAGCTGCCGCCGACGAGCCTCCCGTTCTCGTAGAACAGGGACGGCCGCGTGAACCAGTTGGCCCCCGAGAAGATGACGTAGTCGAACCGCGCCACGCGGGCGAACCACTTGCAGTCGGGCTCGTCGAGGTACAGCTTGAACACGCCGGGGCTCTCCGCCGACTCCTCCGTCCTCACCAGGAACGGCGACCAGAAGATGTGTATGGTGAAGTTGTACCCCTCGTAGTACAGTATCTTGTCCGGGTCCGTCTTCCCCGTCACCGACACGTCCTTCGGCGTCGCAACCTGCCGTCGCCGGCCGCGCGTCACAACTGATCAGGACCATGGACGAACAGTCGAACACAAAGCAGAGAGCGACACACAGAAATCAATGGCGGCCACTTACCTTGGACAGGAGGCAGAGGAGAGACTGCATGTGGTTCCTCGCCAGCGAGTCCCCGACGAAAGCGAGCGTCTTGTTGCCGACGAGCCGGAGGAACTTGTCCGGGTCGAACCGCGGGAGGTCGCAGCCGGCCGGCTTCCACCGCCACTTGAGGAACTCCAGGTCGGGGCGGCCATACATCATGCAGTTCTGGTGCTCCTGGATGTAGGAGCAGGTCAGGTTGGTGTACTGCGGCGAGCTCTCGTCGGGCACCCACTCCCCCTGGAAGATGTCGCACTTGGAGATCGGCGACTCAAAGTAGGACATGTAGGAGGGGAGCTCGGAGGAGCTCATCCTGCTCAGGTACGGCACGCTCTTGAAGCAGGAGAGGACGACGAGCGCCGAGAGGAACACGGCGGCCGGGCCGAAGAGCACCTTGAAGAACAAAACCATGGCTGGCTAGCTAGCTGCAAGCTTGCACCTTCGAGCAGCAAGTGACAGTGCTCACTTAGTGACATTAATCTGGGGTTGCTTAATACCGATCAACAAAGTCTGACCTGCGTGTTTCAAGTTTCAATTCTGGCCTGGGGTCACAAAGAATTCATTCGTTTCAGTACCTGAAAATGGAGGCGCGTGCAAAGGGAACCTTCAGATCGATCACATGCTAATCATAATACTATATTGCAAGTGCCCAGAGTAGCGCATTAGGCTACTCTATTTTGAATTAACTTTTCTTACTCCTAAACCTGTCTAAAACCACAAGCTAAGACATTAGTCCAGTTTTCTTAAGCCGCAATACTAATTAAGCCGGTGTCAGCATCATTAAAGTCTTTTCAGAAATTGAAATCCGAGCTTTGAAACTCAGCACGAGTGCTCGGTGAACTCCGACCAGGTCAAGTTCTGGAAGAAGCTATTGCCGGATTCACGCAGATATTGATCAGAACCTTGGGGAAATGAAATGATACAAAGGGATGGCACGTCGGCATCGGTTTAAGGACTCCGTACCTCGCAGTCAACTGGCGAGTTGGCATGAGAAAACTAAGAAGAGATCGACGTTTACTACTAAAGAAAAAATAAATGATATGATTAACGATCTACGATCCCGTAACAGGTTCTTGTTTAGTCTTACCGAGGAGTTGAACTTCGCAATGGAGGGGCAGCGTTTGCTGCGGTAAGTTGAAGCTTCGGTTTGAGAAGTGTTTGTTTAATCTGTTCGAGGAATCCAAGTGATTTTCGTGTTCTCTTCCCTCGCAATACGTTTGGACCAAAGCAGCAGATGTGTATTAGTCTATGGTCAGAATTCTGAAGAGGAAGGCAAGCATTTCGACTGTGACTGAATCAGTTATTAATAAGACAGATACAGCACACGATCACACGATCTTTTACCAAATTCAGTGCTATGGATCGGCATGTGAAATTTCAAATGCCTATTATAATGCTACTGTATCCAACTGGTTGGAGGATCTCTCTGAAGACTGAAGAGATACAAAAGCAACCTCACTGAAACTGTTCTGCAAGCAAGCCTTCTGTGTCGACTGTCGACCGACCGGTATATATGGAATCAAAATCACAATGCAGGTGCATTTTTCAGAACATAAATAGGAGTACCAACGGGAAGACGCTGTAACCATTTACTAGGCGTGTAGCTCCTGGCAGGAGTTTTTCCCATGCCAAACATGGGAAAAAATGAAAATAGACCAATATATATTTTTTTAGAAAAAAACAAATTATAAACGTAGATGCTCACAACACGTGCACATTTACACCTATAAATACAAACACCATATCCGTATGAGCACCTCCAAAAGATTAGATCGGTATATCTTTAAATTGAGAAAGTCACTACGATACATTGTCTATAACTGAAAGAATAATTATAGCTATAAATATGAGCACCCGTGACAAATCTAAAACTTGAATCCGGGTGGACATGTTTCATCATAAATAACCTAACCAGTTAAGTTATGCTCACTTGACAACTGAACCAAGGTTTTGCTGTTGTTTCTCACCAAATTCAACTTTCAGCCTCAACGAGCTGTGATGTCCTAGTTGTCAACAAGAAAAGGATCTCATTTGAAAGGATCTCACACAAGGCCAGCTTGATAAGTCATTTGGATGGTCTGGGAATTTAAACCGTCCAAATAGCCCGAAGACAGGCCTATTATCCTTGAGAATCGGAAGCCCTAATTACAGGCCCATCATCCCTAGGAAGCACAGCCCAATGGTTGAATCCCAAAGAGGCCTCAGATTTGTTGCGAGGCAAGAACTGATGGGCGTTTCTTCTCGGAATAAGTTCACTTCATGACCCTTAAAAGTGATCACAAATCTAATCCATGACCCCAAACCACAAAACTGGATATCTTGACCCCCAAATTCTTAAAATCGGTGCAATTTGACTCCCTGAGCGGTTTTGCTGACGTGGCGCTTACGTGGCAGTATTGACTCGGTCTTCTTTCCACGTCGCGTTGACGTGGCGTTGAGGTGTCATTAGAAATTAAAAAAAATGCGTGGGACCCATCTGTCATTCACACACAAAATAAAGTAGGGCCCACTGACATGTGGGCCCCACATGTCATCCTCTCTCTCACTACCCTTCTTCTTCCTCCTCTCTCCGTTGTTTCTCTCTCTCTCCGTTGACATGAGCCGCCGGCAGGAGGGGGCTCGAGTGCCGGCGGTGGTGGGTGGGTGCCGGAGTGGTGGTGGCGGTGGGCGGTGGACGGTGGACGGTGTACCTCCGGCGACGGGCGCGGGAGCAGCTCCTTCTACCGCACCGGGCCTCGGGCGAGTGGGCGACGGTGGGGAGCACGGGCGGCGGGAGCTAAAGAGGCTGCGGCGGCAGCGGACCTCGGGCGAGTGGGCGACGGTGGGCGGTGGACGGTGGGGAGCACGGGCGGCGGGAGCTAAAGAGGCGGCGGTGGGCTGCTGCCCGCCCCCTCCATCTCCTCCTCCTCGTAGTCGTCGCCGTCGACCTCCCCGACCATGCCGAGTACCAGATCGAGACCAGCCGTCCGCCGCCCCTCGTACGCCCGCCACCGCTGCTGCTCTCGTCTCCGACCTCGTCGGCTGCGGCCATAGCCACCACCCACAGGACGCGTTGCCGCCGCTCCGGGTCAGCACGCGGCAGTGCTATCGCGAGCGCGAGTGCGGGAGGAGGCACTGGCGGCGGTGGCGGCGGCGACAACACACGAGCTCGGCGGCTCCGCCTCTCCCCTCTCCCTTCCGGCCCTTACACACCGCCGCCGCCTCTCATGTCACCCATCACATCCGTTCCTCCCTCACCTGCTCTCCTCTCCTCTCCTCTCTCCACTTGGCGAGGCCGATGGCGAGGCCGCCGCCACCCCTTCAGCTTCCGCCGCCGCCGCCGCTCTGGCCCCCGCCCGCCGCCGCTCCAGCTCCAGCCTCCCATGCTCCCCGCGGCCGGCCGAAGGGGAGAGGAGAAAGAGAAAGAAAGAGAGAAGGGAGGAAGAAGAAAGGGAGAGAGAGGATGACATGTGGGGCTCACATGTCAGTTGGCCCCACAATTTTTTATTTTGTGTGTGAATGACAGATGGATCCCATGTATATTTTTATTTCTAATGCCACCTAAGCGCCACGTCAATGCCACGTGAAAAGAAGACCGAGTCAATACTGCCACGTAGGCGCCACGTCAGCGAAACCGCCCTCCAAAACCGTCCAGGGAGTCAAATTACACCGGTTTTAAGAGTTTTGGGGTCGAGATATCCGGTTTTGTGGTTTAGGGTCATGTATTAGATTTCGATCACTTTTGAGGGTCATGAAGTGAACTTATTCCTTTCTTCTCTCTATCCTCTCTGGCCCTGCGCGTATTACATAGCCCATGAAAGTGGATTCTAAATTTTCTGAGGGGACATACCATCGTTATTTGCATGTCAACCAAACCAAATGGTTATGAAAATATTTGAAAAATAATCAAAAAGATATTTTAATATATAATAAATCACTTCACAAACATGCAAGTTAAAATTTAACTTTTATGGATTGCAACGGAAAAAATAAATTAAACTATGACTAGTTAACACATATTCCTAGTCAAATTTGTTTTTTTTCGTTGCAACTTGTATAATTTAAATTTGACCTTGCATTTTGTGGAGTAATTTATCACATATTAATCTAGTTTTTTGATTTTTTTTAATTTTTCCATAACCATTTGGATGATATACAAACAACGAGGGAATGTTCACTTGAGAGTTAAAAATAATTTCCCCATATCCAATAGTCCATAAGTGCAAAACTGAGAACTGATCTTCACACGAAAATCTGAAACTCTCACTGGAGTAGTAGACAAATAACACAGTCCGGTGCTCCAGCATAAGTGATGATCACATCCAAGCTGCCATGGCCAATTGCCATCTTCCAAAGTAACTTCAGCCATGGAAAGCAAGCATGGAGCATGCACCCAAGTCAAAACCCTGCATAGCACTCCATCCTCCAAAAGGTCTGCAAAACTCCTCCCTAAAGACTTGTACATTCCCTGATTTTCCCTCATCATCCCATCTCGTTTGTTCTTCACTCTGTGTATTATGCATCAGTCCATGCATTCATGCTGCATGATCGGCTAGCTAGCTCTGCTCGCGCGTCTACGTGATGGCACTGATCAGCTCGCTGCAGAGGCCAAGGAAGCCGAGGTGCCCTTCCCACCCAATGCTCTCCCTCTCCCCATCCCTCGTCTGCCTCCTCGTCCTCCTCCCCTTCCTCTCCCTGCTCCTCCTCCACCGCTCCGCCTTCCCGGCTTCACGTTCTCCGCTCCTCGCCCACCTCACCGCGTCCTCCTCCTCGCGCTCCTCGGCGAGCGGCTTCGCCGGCGGCGACCTACGTGAGATCGAGTTCTCGTGGAACCACCTGCCGTTCAGGCAGTCCAGGCCGCCGCCGGCGAGGCTCAAGATCGCCGTGTTCTCGCGGAAGTGGCCCGTGGCCTCGGCGCCCGGCGGCATGGAGCGGCACGCGCACACGCTGCACACGGCGCTCGCGGCGCGCGGGCACCGCGTCCACGTGTTCACCTCCCCGCCGCCGCACACCGAGGCCGCGCCCCCGCGCTCCGCCGACGGGCCGCAGCTCCACTTCCTCGACGGCGACCCCGGGGTGTGGCGCTGCGACGAGGCGTGGAAGCTGTACGAGGCCGAGGCCGAGAACGACCCGTTCGACGTCATACACTCGGAGAGCGTGGCCGTGTTCCACCGCTGGGCGCGCGGCGTGCCCAACCTGGTCGTGTCGTGGCACGGCATCTCCCTGGAGGCGCTCCACTCGGGGATATACCAGGACCTCGCCCGCGGCGACGACGAGCGCATGTCGCCGGCGTTCAACCACAGCCTGGCACAGTCGGTGTACCGGGTGCTGTCCGAGGTGCGCTTCTTCCGGAGCTACGCGCACCACGTGGCCATCAGCGACGCCACGGGGGAGATGCTGCGCGACGTGTACCAGATCCCCAGCCGCCGCGTGCACGTCATCCTCAACGGCGTCGACGAGGCGCAGTTCGAGCCGGACGCGGCGCTGGGCCGCGCGTTCCGGGAGGACCTCGGGCTGCCCAAGGGCGCCGACCTGGTGTTCGGCGTCTCCGGCCGGCTGGTCAAGGACAAGGGCCACCCGCTGCTGTACGAGGCCTTCTCCAAGCTCGTGCTGCGCCACCCCAACGTGTACCTCCTCGTCGCCGGCAAGGGGCCGTGGGAGCAGCGGTACATGGACCTGGGCCGCAACGCCAAGGTGCTCGGCGCCGTGCCGCCGGAGAAGCTCAAGGCGTTCTACAACGCGCTGGACGTGTTCGTGGACCCGACGCTGCGGCCGCAGGGCCTGGACCTGACGCTCATGGAGGCCATGCAGTGCGGCAAGCCGGTGCTCGCCACGAGGTTCCCCAGCATCAAGGGCAGCATCGTCGTCGACGACGAGTTCGGGTACATGTTCGCGCCCAACGTGGAGTCGCTGCTCGAGAAGCTGGAGGCCGTGGTGGAAGAGGGCGCCCGCCGCGCCGCGCAGCGCGGCCGCGCGTGCCGCGACTACGCCAAGACCATGTTCGCCGCCACCAAGATGGCGCTCGCGTACGAGAGGCTCTTCCTCTGTGTCAAGAACGACACTTTCTGTGCCTACCCAGCTGAGTTCGATTAGTTCGTTAATTTTGATCAGCGTACGTGTGTTTATTTCATTGAATACTCTATTTAATAATCACAGAAATTAAACTATATTAATCTTCGTATTTATACTCTGTATTTGGACCTCATATAAATATCCACAAAGTACATTGGTAAATGCAGTAGATAGTGTACATTGTACGGATGCTAACACGACTTTTTCGAGTTGACCGATGCTTTTCAGGTAAGCAAAGCAACCGTGCAAACTGGGTTGACCCGGACGGCCGCAACTGCACATGTGTGGCACGTTGGAACTATTGGTTTACATGAAAGTCGTCGTCTCCTTTTTACGCTATCCATTGTCAGATGTACTACCGATTTGAGACGACTTGGAGAAAATTTCATGGGGTTTTCCTGCCACATATCAAGATGTTTAGTCCCCACAGAAAAAAAAAAGGACACTTTAGTTCTATCGCTTTGATACTACCATCGATTACTTGAGAGGACAGTATAAATTTTACGATATGGCCATTGAATTAAAAAAAGATAAACGTTTATACTTAGGCCCAATTATTTTTTCTCAACTCCAAATTTCAACTCCCTCGTTTTAAATGGTGCGCTTTTGATAAAAAAGTTTCTATATAGAAGTCGTTTAAAAAAAACAAATAAATCCATTTTCAAATTTATAATAATTAATACTTAATTAATTATGTGCTAATGAGGTTTCTCGTTTCACATGCAACAAAAATATATCTCTAAAACGCCACATTGAACGGAGCCTTATTTTATTGATACATCTCCGGTTTCTTAATTCTTGATGTTTTGAATAATATTAAGGTGAAACAATTATAACTGTGACTACTAATAACTTTCAGTTTGAAGACACTGGAATATGATGTGTAGGTTGGTCTTACGAAGTACCTTGAGAAAATTAAATATTTACTTATTTTTTTATAGTATAATATAACATCATAGTTAAAAGATATATTTGGAGACCGTGTTATTATCCAAAATATTAAGAATTATGGAACCAGAGTAGTAGAGACCATTGTAAAATTGTAGCGAGGAGTTGCAAAAACAATAACCTTAGGTTCTGCTGAGTAAGGATCCAATATCCACAACATATATAATTCACCTCAGTAAAACGGCTAGATGCAACTACAAACAAATTAAAATTACCACCAGATCCTTTTGAGCGACACATGTATGAATATTCCTGTTGTTCATGTCTAGGGTCAAACTACTAGCAAATGGAAATGGCGGTCACAAATGGGGAGCACAAAAAAAAAGCTGTAAGCAACTAAGCACATGTCGCAGATCTATCAAATACATGAATTACAAACGACCCCTCAACACAAGTACACACAACTCAAGTCATCTTTGAATATGAACAACGGCCTATGTTATATACTCTCCTACTCCCTCCGTTTCGAAATATTTGACACCGTTGACTTTTTAGCACATGTTTGACCATTCGTCTTATTCAAAAACTTTTTTGAAATATGTAACAATGAATCAAATGATAGAAAAAGAATTAATAATTACTTAAATTTATTCATTTTTTGAATAAGACGAACGGTCAAACATGTGCTTAAAAAATTAACGGTGTCAAACATTTCGAAACGGAGGGAGTACCTTTCAAGCTGTGATCGACGGATCGACATAAAAATGGATCACTTCTCTTCTCTGCGTGCAGACGAGCACTACCTGGCAAAACCCTGAGCCTGATCCTCATCGGCATCCGCCTTTCCAGTTGACGATCGATCTGGCCGCGGTCCGCCGGCCACCGCGTCCTTCCCGGTGAGCCTCTGCACGATGGACTTGAACTCGGCGCTGTCCGCCTCGATGTGCACCGTCTCGATGATCTTCACCACCGCCGGCGGCGGCGGCGGCGGGCCGTGCCTCGTCGTCTCGTCAGCTCCTCTCGTCGACATCTATACCTCGCGTGCCGGATCGGAGCAAACACAGGGGTCGGCAACACGTACTGGAGGCCTCAACTCTCGGGTAAATAATGCGCAGTACTGCTCTTCAACCGTACGTACGTGCGATCGACCTCCTTCTTATAGCTCGTAACAATGGCAGGCAAGCGTCGTCGCATGCACTCTCGCACGTTGAAATGGTCGGTCAGATTGACAGAAGTAGTGGTACACGAGACTTGAGAAGGAGCGCCTGGTGAACAATTTGGCTACTACCAAGCCACTTGGTAGAGTTGGTATGTACTTGCCACGACAGCGACATGACGGCGGTCGGCACCGGCTGCAGCGACCGTACCGAGGAGTAGTAGTAGTAGGCTAGTAGCTTCGCACGGGTTGACCCGCGAGGGGAGACCGCGGCAGTTGCGCGCGCCACATATTTTCGTCGTTGAAGTCAGTAATACCGGTGCGTACTAGCCGGCAGTTGGCTGCTGCTCACCGATTCGGTCGGTCAAAACGGGGCTTTTCGTCACGTACTCACGTAGCTACCTTTCTCTCGCTGCTTGCCTATCGACATGCGTCACCGCTTTGGCCCCTCGGTCAAAACGGACCTTTTCTTCAGCTAGCTAGCCAATAGCCATCTTTTTATTCTCGCAGTTTGGCTACCGACATGCGTCGGCGACCAATGGCAGTGAAAGGGCGATGCCAAAAAAACGTGGGCGCATTGCTATTCTGGGAGAGGCAGAAAGTTACATGAAGTAATCAACTGGTAAGATCGATATTTATAGTCAACGGCTTGCTGCTCAGCACTTACGCTATGTAGAGTGAGAACTGAGAAGTAATCAACATTACCAAAAAAGAAAAGAAAAGCAGATTCGTGACAGGACACGATTAGCACCAAACGAAACATTACGGCTTGCAGCTCAGCACTTACGCTATGTAGAGGGATAAGTAATCACATCACGAAAATGGAAAAAAAACAGAGCAGATTCGTGACAGGAAAACGATTAGCATCAAGCAAAACATTTGTGTCATCTATTATTATTAGTCGCAGACATGCAAAAGCTATGGTCACACCGTCACACAATGCACTGAATACAAAAACTGCTCCCAGTATGGAAAACTTCTAAAACACATAGGCGTGGTGATGGTGATGGCTTTGTTGAAGCTGGCTTTCTAAAACACATAGGGAGTCATCCTCAACAAATGCAGCAGAAGCACATCACATAACATATTGACATCTAACAATAGAATAGAAACTCAAAACAAATGTGCATCCCTTAGATATTCGAGGCAAACTAAGTGCTTCAGGAGCATATCCCATTCCCAGCATAAAACTGAATAACCAGCCAACCAGGTGATCATGGTTCTCCTCGCCAAATTTAGTATCCCTGCATGGCTGCATAATTAGTTTTTGGATATTATACATTTACACTTCCCACTTCAAAATGTCAACAAGATGCAATGTTGTAAGATAAATATATACCATTTGACGGCACTGTGTCCTTAACTCCTTATAGGGCACAAGGCGTGAACGTCTTATATCAGGATTGGGCGAGAGAGAGATAAGGCATGCACACACATATACCTGCAAAAAAGGTGATAACAGTGTCATAGTTACACCCCAACACACACCTCAACATAACGATAACAAAAAGGTACATTTATTCCATATGAACTTTCTTGTACATGAACTGTTCTTACTCTAATAAAAGAAGATGTGACAGTTAAGAAGGTAGACACATACCACCTGCCAATAAGCCAGAGAACTAACCAGGGTCCACAGGTCGTTTCTGCTCAGGAGGGAAGCGGCAAGCGGGTTACTGCCACATATACCCCTTGTCCAGCAAGAGCAACTCCAGCATATTTTCAATCATCCAATTCTTTCTGAAACACTGATCCTCAGGCAAGAGCTAGTCCAGCAACAGCAACTCGGGTAAGAGCTTGGATTTCTTGCACTATAAACTGGGGTATAGATGGAGAATGCGGAGAGGAAGATAAACGAACTGCCTGGAGAGTAGTGTACAAGAATAATAAGAACTTGTTCTAAATGAGACAAATACACATGCACAATATTTAATATACTTGCTTCATTGACATAAATTATGCAACAGTTTGACTTCGCATGGCGTCCAACATGAGTGTATACTAAAATTTTCAGCAACGAAGAAGAAATTTATCTGGTACAAATTGCTCTTGGAATGATTTATTTATTATTCCTTTTCTAAAGAAAAGAAACCCTTGCATCTTATGCACACAAATGAAGTCACTAACTAACTAATCTTCCTGCTTAGAATGTACAAGTTAATTTCTAATTTTCTTAAATATATTTCTGTTCTCGCAGAGAAAAGGGGTACTCCTACAGTACCACACATAAGAAAAAGGAGTTCAGAAGTTGAGAAGGAACAACATTCGAGAAAAAAAAAGTTGAGAAGGAATATTGCATTCACAGTAAATAAAGTTTGCATAAGAATAGGAAGTAAACACTACAATGCCTCCACTAATACACAAAACGATAAGAGTGAACTGAAATATGCAAGGATTTGAAGAAAAACTGAAAAGAAACGACATGAGATGTGTGCCCAACATTTCATGTGATACTCTATACGGTCAAACGAAAATTTTCCATGAAAAGCTGATAGGAAGATTTAACTCAAACACAAAAACTTCTTGCTTCTAGTGCATAGGTTCTCGTGTTGAAGCTGTGTCTTGCATGAGACCAATTTCTTTCTCTCTTCACTCTCTCTCTTAATTAATATAGTGCCACATAAGTTAAAAGTCCTACATGACAATGTAGTTAATGCCATAGACACCATCATAGTTGGAGGGTTGGGACTGCCCTAATATCCACACATAATATTTAATGTACTCCCTCCATTAACATACTCCCTCCGTCCCAAAATATAACAACTTTTAGCCCTCAACATTTGTCCCAAAATATAATAACTTCTCCACCAACATTCTCTTTTCAACCAATCACAACCCTCCACCATTCAAGTTTCCCACCTACCTCCACTACTCAACCAATCACAACCCTTCATCATTCACTTCTACCTAATTTCTTAATAACCGTGTCCAACTCTAAAAATGCTTATATTCTGGGACGGAAGTAGTATGTAGTAGTGAATGGTTTGGCTTGTGCATGATTTCCATATTGATTTTTTCCCATTAACAGTATATTGCCAATAAGTACAAAACCAAGTTCAAATGAGATACTTTCAAATATGAACCCAATGACACCCATAAAAAAAAGGGTTAATTGGATACATGCCATTATAAATTTACGATATTGAAAAAATACCACTACTATTCGTGAAATTTGTTTCATACCACTAAAATTTTGTAAAATTAAAAGCATGCCATTGCCGTCAAACTTTCTGTAAGTACATCCGTCTAAACACAGAAAATGTCAAAAATGTCCTTCCTTTTCACATTAAGCTTTCTCTCTCCTATGTTCTTCTCCAACTCCAGCGAGTTGAGGCGAGGAATTCCCCTTAACCGATTGAGAAGGAGGATGGTCGACAGAGACGAATCGAAGGAGCACCGTGGTAGCATTTTTCACCGGAGAGAGAGGATGCGGCGGCCAGAGGTTGAAGATGGGCCTGACGAGTGGGCCCGACCTTGACAGTAGTGGTAATGAAACGGAAAACCTGATGGCAATGGCACCGTTTGAATTTTAAATAATTTCAATGGCATTCACCAGATTTCACGAATAGTAGTGGTATTTTTCCAATGCCGTAAATTTCTAATGGCATGAATCCAATTAACCCTAAAAAAAAAAGAGATATAAAAATAACATTGCCAGGATGTTTTACATTACAGCCCACTAACCAATAATAAATGCTTTACTAGATTAACTATGTGTATCCTGAAGAGAGTTCACCGCTCATCTGATTGACATCGCAGCCCACTAACCATCAATGAGAATGCTTACGTTACTATCTGAACTACACGTATCCTGAAGATGGCTTAACAGTCAGATGTAAAACGGCAGGTTACACCTGATCAAATTTTGAAAAAAAGAGAACTCTGAATCACAGAAGATTCAACAGGACTGTAGCTGAGGGGAGTTGATTCTTTTCTTTTTGCAAGGTGATAATTAAAGGCTAGGAATCCAAATAATTGTGGATGTGAAAATAAAAGGGATCATAGTAAGCAAACACAATCTCTTCCTTAAAGATGGAACAGGGAAATAACAATTATGTTCATCAAACAAACCCAACGAGACTATATCAAACCAACAGCCGCTATATACAAATAAGTGCAAATAGGAAATCCATACAACTCGAAGAGAAGCTTCAAATACATGAGGATACATTTCAATCATGTAAAGTAATAAATTCCGTATTACTGAAACTGACTTCAAATAACATTAGACGAACACAAAGGAGAACATTATATAAGCAGAAACGGTACAAAAGAAATCAATAATGTAGAAAACTGTACCTGCAACATTGGAGGTCTTAAACTATTTTTTCAGAAGTGGTAGTCTTGGGACCTTCAACTGTAATAAGAGCCAAATCTCCATGCTCTGCAGCTGCCCGACTCTTAGCTTCTCTTGCTTTCATTTCTTCTTTCCTCTTTTTTGTTTCAATGTCAATGGCAGCCACACCCGCATCAACAAAGACAGACCGGGATATTATAAACAGGCTCAGGAGACAGAAGGACATTCCAAGTGCTACGAAAACTTTATAGTATTGTTTGCTGGACAAAGAGCAATCTAGTTCAGGAAGTATATACTTAAGACATAACAAAGAAAATCATATATCGAAACATGAAAGTTTGCTCAGAAAATAAACGGTGATGTTTCGGAATCAATCAGACCACATAAGACGTAGCTGCTTAATATGCTAGCACTTCACATTCTGTACCAGCGAATGTATTTTAAAATTTACTGTATGACAATATGTATTTAGAACAAAAAAAATTGTTCATCACGAGCTGTATTTTGGATTCATTCATTCATAGGCTTCCTGTGGCACCCCACACTTTTATAGCCATATTACACACCAACATTCAGAACATAAGAATAGGGTTATTGACAGACTACATCCTCAAACTCCAAAACAGACTCACGGGAAGTCAGGAACACAAGATTACAACATGGGACATCACAAAGCAAAAATAGAAAGAAAGAAAACTTAGTATGGGAATAAATAACTGCACATAAAAGATTGATGGCTTCTCCGCCTTCTCCGCCTCCTCGTCCCGCTCGGCCGACGTGGGCGCGCTCGTGTCGTCGCGCGCGCCAGCGAACGCGTCGGCCCTATCAGCGGCGTCGGCGACGCGTACTCGCGGTGGGACGCGGCGGTGGGGTGCTGGGCGCTCGCGGAGAAGTACCGGCCGGGGTCGCCCGACCGGACGGCGCTGCAGGACCCCGAGGCGGACCTCGGCGCGGGTCTCATCCCACCGGTCGCTGCGGACCCGGCCGCCGCCGACGCCGACGTCGACGTCAATGACGGCGAGCTCCTTGCCTTTGTCGCGGGCGGCGCCGGCCGAGAGGATGGCGAGGCCGGTGCTGAGCTGCGCGGTGATACCGGACGCGGCCATCTCTATGTGCGACTGCCTCTGCCGCAGCCGCTCCATGGCGAATCCTGCTGACCTGACCATGACGCCCGCTTGAGCTCAGTTCTCCGTTGCCTCGTCGTCAGTCACACTAGTTCCAACTTCCCTCGCCAATGACCGTAACCGGCGCCTCATCCACAGTCCTCGCATAGAAGGCTAATCAACGAAACCATGGTCCAATATGTTGAGACTTTTCTCTGGGATGGATAAGATGAGTCGTATCCATGGTCAAAAACTCGCTTTGGTATCATCGGTATCTTTCCAGATCGTGCTATCACAGAACTCCTGTTCGAATAGACCAAAAATGTTGGATTCTTTAAATTGTTTGAATTCTGTTCAAACTGCTTCAAATTCTGTTCAAGAGAAATTTGGATTTCTCTTGGTGTGATTTTGCCCGAGGCGGCGAGGGGCGAGGGGCGAGCTGGATTGCCTCTGCCGCAGCCGCTCCAGCTGTTCTACTGAAGGTAGTTTAATTGAAGCCATGAAAAAAAGGAAAGAACATATAAAATTACAGCACTAGCTTTATACAGTCAAACTGCGAGTTTCAAATCTCATACTACTTCTTGCAAGTAAAACTGCAAATGTTCACTCCATTTGTAGTAGTACACATGATACTGGAAACAATTCTAGCATTTGATCATCAGATTTTTTTTTCTTGATCCAGGCAGTGAATGAATCCCTGAAGAGCGTAAATCTGTTCCACAGCGGTTTCGGCGACAAATCGGTTTCGAGCTGGAGCGGCTGCGGCACAGGCAGTCGCACATGGAGATGGCCGTGTCCGGCATCACCGCGCAGCTCAGCACCGGCCTCGCCATCCTCTCGGTCGGCGCCGCCCATGACAAAGGCAAGGAGCTCACCGTCATCGACGTCGACGTCAACGTCGGCGGCGGCCGGGTCCGCAGCAACTGGTGGGAGAAGAGCCGCGCCGCCCGGTCGGGCAACCCCGGCCGGTACTTCTCCGCGAGCGCCCGGCACCCCACCGCCGTGTCCCACCGCGCGTACGCGTCGCTGGCGCCGCTGACAGGGCCGACGCGTTCTCCGGCGCGCGCGATGACACGAGCGCGCCCACGTCAGCCGAGCGGGACGAGGAAGCGGAGAAGCCGCCGCGCTCGCACGCCGTCTCCGCCGGCGGCCGTCGCTGCACCACCCTCCCGCCTCGCGCCCGCCCAGCCTGCAGAGAAGTGAGAGAGAGATGAGGAAGGGAGAGAAGAGAGGAAAGAGAGAGGGTGATGTGAACACCTGACATGTGGGGCCCACGTGGGTTTCATGTTGACTCAGCCGCCACGTAAACCAAAACTAGTGTCAAAACCACTGAAAGACCTCGGATGACCGGTTTTGTATAGTTAAGACACCCCGCATATCTGATTTTATGGTTCGAGGATGTTTTTTATCCCGACGACAAGTTGTGTACTTTTTCCCAACCATTTTGGAACCAATATTTCTTAACCAAAGCCAGATCGGTCCAAACCAAATTTTATAGACACCAAACCACACCAGCCCAATTGTGGCGGCAGCCCATTTCCCCCATCCAAACTAGCTCTATTTAAAAAACCAAACCATTTGGTCCTAAACCATTAGCAGGCCCCGGCATTTATTCTTTTCTTTCCAAGTTGTTAATGTGTCACTGATACTATCATGCATAAAGGAGTTCAAGCATCAATCATATAACTGCTGCCATCATTTAGTCACAAAGCAAGCAATTCTGTTGATGTACCAAGTGATGGAAACAACTCTAAGTATGCACCAATTTAATATAAAAAAGCAGTATGAACATCAGTGGTACACTCAATCAGTGATACTATTATGTTCTACCCTCAAACATCTTCAATCTATCAGCACCATAATTGTCTGACATTGCAACATATCAGCATCTGAACAAGTCACCGGCTCACTGCACATGGAGTTGTAACCTTGGATTTCATTGAACAAGCTGAGTTGGCCTACTAAATTGTTGGGCACAATTATTACCGCCTGAAATGAAGTGTCCCTTGCACAATATTTGAGTCGTCACTTCTTAACTATTCAGGCTGAGGTTAATATCAGCAAGATGACAAAAATAACAAATATTGTTCAAGTAGCAGACTGGGCTGGAAGCCAAAATACAGCAAGATGAAAAAAAAAAGAGCGATAATGTTCAAGTAGCAACGTAGCATCCTGAGTTGGAAGCTAAAATTTTTACAGTAACACGAAACTCAAGCAGAACCATGGCTTGCTGCTAGCTAAATCTCAAGCATCGCCAATGTCACTGCTGCTACTGTCCAGACCCAGATCATCCAATGCAATGCCGCCAACCATGTCTTCATCTGTAATCCAGCCCTCATCATCGTAATCACCAGGATTAGGAACTGGAGGCTCATTCACAGCGTCCAACGGGTTCCCTGGGTTCTGCCCGTTCAGCAGCAACTCCATCCTCCAAACATACCTCAGCATCTCAGTAGGGTGGAAATCAAAACCCATTGCATCTCCAGTTGCCCACAGCCTTACTCGCTGGTGGATAGTAAGATTGGGACCGAAGCCCAGGACGTGGAATTGGGGATTGAGATTGCGAATGGCAGAAACACGGTTCACAACTGTAACACCGTTCCAGTACTCTGTGCCTGGAGGAAGTGGTGGCAAGTTGGCAAGTCCATTCATGTACTCATCATCATCATCTTCATCATCATCATGTACCGGGTCATAGTCCTCATCCTCCTCTTTCATCGTCCTCCTCTTCATCGTCCTCTTCCTCGTCCTCCTCTTCATTGTCGTCCTCTTCCTCATCCTCCTCTTCATCATCGTCCTCTTCATTTTCCTCCTCATCGTCATCATCCTCTTCATCGTCATCTTCTTCTTCATCATCCCCGCCACCACCATCATCATCATCACCGTCATTGCTACCTTGGATAGTACCAGAATTACCAGGTTCCAGGTCATCCCCATCAGATTCAGGGTTATAACTTGGATCAACTTCAGAGTTGTCACTTTCGCTACTGGGATCAGATAGCGCTTTGTATTCCAACCACGCTATATGATAACAAATTGTCATTAACCTGACAACACAATGCATTTAGTAACAACTATTGTAAATAAGAATACAAGAAAGAACATAATGCATTTAGTAACAACTATTGTAAATAAGAATACATGACAGAGCATAATGCATTTAGTAACAACTACTGAAAATAAGAATACATGACAGAACATAATGCATTTAGTAGAACCTAAATAAAAAACCGAGTAATGTGAATGTGTATACCTTGGTTGTCTTGTGCGAAGGAATATATTGAATCAACTATCTGTCTCTCTATGGCCTTATCAGATGACTCTATCAGTTTCATAAAGCTCTTTTCCATCTTCAGGAATTCACTCCTCACTGTTCATGGAATACAATAATTATACAAACATGTCACAGTCACCATATTACACAAACCCACAGTTATTTATGAATAGCAAACGGATATGAAAACATAAGTTTACAACTACAATAATTTCAAAGGTTACAGTTGAATATACCCTTATCTTAACCAAAGGCATGTACAACGTACCTTTGGACACCTTCAGTTTACCAAACGACTCAATCATATCTTTTTTTTCTTCCTGATTAAGTAATAATGGGTAATATTAGGTTACCAGCAAACATGTAGTTATATATGTCAATATGCAGAGTATTTTAGTGCCTTAATACAGATTAGAAAGTGGCAACCAACCTGAGAGAACTTTAGCTCGTTATCATTGCTCTTGTGATCAAAGATTTGCATAGCTACATAACAAATGCAGTACATTAATCTCTAAGTTATATAAAATATTAATATATGAACAAGAAAAGCACACTGCAGTAGTAAAATGCAAGCAAAAATTGCATACTGTTCATGTTTGGTGCTTTGATCAAAGTTTTCTATAAATGGAAAGATTCATTTATTAAAGCAGTATGCACACACATATTTCTTGCATATGCATGAAAGCCCTTTTTGGATGTTTTTCCTTTTCTCTACAAAAAAGAAAGAAATCTATGCTGTAACTGCCAACATAACCTTAAACTCCTCTCTCAATCCATTACATTTGCAATAGATCTCACCACACAACAAATTTGTCTGGTACAAACTCAAGCGCACAATTGTAATTGTGATTACGGCCTAAAATGCTAGAGATTGATTTGAAAACGCTAGAGGTTCAAACTGCCACATGCATCTGGTACAAACTCAAGCGCACAATTATAATTGTGATTACGGCCTAAAATGCTAGAGATTGATTTGAAAACGCTAGAGATTCAAACTGCCACATGCACCAAAAAGATGAAACTCGAAAAACTTGAAGGCTACATACACAGGAAGAATCATGGATATCACAGGGGTAAACGATACCTATTGTAGAGTCTACCAGACCACTGACAGAATCCTCCAGGAGATGGTAAAGGTTGGGTGGCTGACGAGCTGAGGGTGAGGGATGTCGGAGTCCGCGGCGATGGACACCGTGTCGGCTGGCGCCTTCCGCTCTGCAGCCGCCGAGCAAGGAGCGCGAGGGTGCAGGCCAGACGATCTCGCCATGGTGGTCGCCGTCAGGGGTCGTGCTCAGTCGCGGTGAGAGGGTGACGCCTGGATGGTCTGCACGTTTGAAGGTACGGAAGTAGGCGAGGTACAGAATTCGGCCACCCTTGTAGACGGCGACGAGCTCATCCCTTGATGACCCCATATCCTCAGCAGCAGCCGGGCGCGGGCTGGCCCCGCGGGGGTTCACGCACAACACGGCGGGAGGCGCGCGGACCGCGGTCTGGCGAGCTTGACGACGAGCAAGCCCCCTACGGTTGGAGACGACGCGGCTGCGGGTGGAGGCCTTGATGAGGTGGCGTTCGCAGCGAGAAGACGGCTCGGCGACGCCGCGGCTGGGGGGCTCCTTGGCGAGGGGGGCAATGCGGCGCCCACTGCGAGAGGACGGCTCGACGACGGGGAGCTTGCCGATGTCGCCGCCCTCGTGAACGTGAATCCGTCGAAGCCCGCCAGGTGAAGATGCGCGGACGTCGACCCCATCGCCGGCTACAGTGCCTACACCCAGTGGTGGCGAGGACATGGCCGGAGTCCGCGGGAGAGACAGCAGTGGTGGTTTGGTTCCTAGCCTACAGTGATTTCATATCTGGGTTTGTGTTGGGGTTTCTCACTGCAGGTGGGGTGGGGTGTGAGGAATCCTGGCTCCGCTGGAACTGGGAGGGGAAAGGGTTTTGCAATGGAAGAAGGCCGTGATGTCGCCGGGCATTGGCTTATGCAGATGAACCCACTATTTACGAGTTAGTCCTCCAAACTACAGCACTTCCATTCTTATTGTAATTTCTAAAATGTACAATGGGTTGGATTGTTATATTTCTCCGGGCACTCACCCATGCTTTTTGTTCAGAACGGACAAAATCGGAGATCTTTGAGAACGGGTTGATAGGGCCTACAAGCCTGAAGCCTCTGCAACTGCAACGGAATACGGGAGGATGTAGGTGGGGCCGGCACTCTTTTCTCACCCTCTACTCGAGATGCCTTTGGTAAAAATTGTTATAGTAGATCAGTCTGGTGGAGAGTACCTTTGGTGAAAAATTGTTACAGGAGATCAGTCTGGTTACCCACACGAGCTAATGTGGTGGGTCATAGGCCCCGTTCCAACCTGCTTTGAAGTTTAAGTAAAGACATTAATACGAAAAAGTCACTAGCATATAATTCATTTATTTTTAATTACTTTAAATTTAAAATATTAATTTATCTAATATTTTAAAATAACTAGCATGGTGGTCCGTGCAAATTACGCGGCAAGTATCCTTATGTTTTCTCTCATATAATGGCATATAATTTTCTTATTTTATTTTTAAAATATCTTAAAATAACAACATAATTTAAATTTTGTACTAACTTGACCAAAATATTAATATGTAATATTCATATTGTGTTGTATATAAGTGATAGTTGTTAATGATTTTTTATACCAAATTGTAGATATTTCTAAATTATATTTTTATATGGACTCTAGACTCATGTCTCAATATTCTTTATTTTTTAATGAGTTTCTATTATTTATAAATTTTATTGATATTTATTATTTAAAATTCAAAATTTCAGTTATTTCTAAATTATCCTCCTATTTGAACTCTATAATCATCCTGTAATATTCCTTATTTTTCAATTCCGAATTTCCATTATTTATAAAATGTATTTCTATATAGACTCTATACTCTTCTTCTAATATTATTTTTTTAAATTTTGAATTTTTATTATTTCTAATTGTATTTGTATATCGACTCTAAATTCATCTTTCAATATTATTTATTTTTTAATTTCGAATTTTAGTTACTTCTAAATTGTATTTCTATATAAACTCCAGACTATTGTTCCAATATTCCTTTTTAAATTTCTAGTTTTATTTATTTGTAAATTGTATTTCTATATCTACTCTAAACTCTATTTTCTAAATTCATATAGAGACTCTATACTTTTCTTCCAATATTCATTATTTTAATTCCTAATTTCTATTATTTCTAAATTGTATTTCCATATAGACTTTAAATGTATCTTTCAATGTTTCTTTTTTTAATTCTGCATTCAAGTTATTTTTAAGTTGTATTTCTATATGGACTCTATTTTCTTCATCCAATATTTCTTTATTATTATTATTTCGAATTTTCGTCATTTCTAAATTGTATTTCTATATCGTCTCTAACCTCTACTTTTAGTTTTCTTATTTTTTTAATTTCGAATTTTCATTAGTTTTATTGTATACCGGTATGTACTCTAGTCTACCAATATTTCTTATTTTTAATTCCGAATTTCAGTTATTTCTAAATTGTATTTTTAAATTGTATTTCTATATAGACTTTGTTTTTAAAGTTTCTCCGATTAATGTAAGAATTTCTAGACCATGAGAGTGAACGTGGAGGCTACCTTTTCTATTCCTTTAATAAGTTAGTAGGTTTCTATATAAAAAGTTTTTATACAAAATACATTGTTTACTAGTTTTCTTTGAAGTAATTGTTTAACAATTTAAAGAACTTGTGGTAAACATAAAACTACATAGTATAGTACCGTATACTATGTATCTTTTTCTTTCACTACTGAATACTCCCTTCGTCTAAAAAAAATTAACTTCTAGAGTTTGAATTTAGTAAAAAAAACCAACTTCTACTATTCTACCTACTATCAGCACGTAAAATAAGAAATTTTATCCCTTCAACATCCTTTACCTATCTATCACATTTACTATTTTTTTCAATGATTAAGGATATTTTAATCATTCTCACTTTTCACTAATTTTAACTTGGGGTGTTAGGAATGGATTATTTTTTTTAAACTGAGGGAGTAGTATGTACTTCTACTGTACTTTATCTGGGTTTTGTAAATGCATGGTAAAAACACCTGTTCAAAGTTTTATTCCCCCAGGCTGTAGAAGTTCTGGAAAAGATTTTCATTGCTCCATAGTACTCCTGACTCCTGAGTTCTCGAAAAGAAGAGAAGAAAGTACTCCTGCTCCTGTACAGCGCGGTCAGATGATCATCAGATGGATCAGCGCGTCCTGTACCAAAGTTTCAACACTTCGGTCACTGACTACAGGGCCCAAAGGGGCGCATCCGCGCACACTCGCCTAGATAGTCGTTCCCGATTGGTCCTTGAGCTTTCGTGTCCGCCAAGGCGCCAAGCTGACGGGCAGAGGAGCAGGCGCTGCAAACCCAGGCGGTGGGCCCAGGCCAGGCAGTGCAGGCGGGGGACCCAGGCCAGGCGGTGCGGGGGCGTGTCACTCTTGTAGTCTTACCCTTGCAAGTTTCAAGTTTTCTGAAAAGAAAAGGATAAAAGTGTAACAACTTTCGACGATCGCCCGTCCACGGCCAGGAGCCGGGACGTGTCACGTGTGGAGGCGCCTCAATTCCTCACGCCCTCACCCAGTCATCCCACGCGTCACGCCGGGATATTTCTCCCCTGCTCGATGCACGCCCGTTTTACATGGTAGTACTACTAGAAAAGCGTCGCGCCTGTTGGCGCGCGTCTTTTGCAGTCCATTCTAAAACATTTTATTTGAGAATTAATTTCATTTAAATTAAATTTCTACAAAGACCATTCATTTGGAAGAACCTTTTGTGGTTTTTTTAATTTTGAATTTAACATGTAGTAGATCGTTATTTTTAAAGGAAAAACTTTAAACTGGTATCTTTTAATGCATTTTAGTGGGTTTTTCGATGTACTCCTTCCGCTGTCTAATGAATGACATTACTGAATTTTAACATGATATTTGTTTGTCTTATTACAAAATATTATAAATATAATAAATCATAAGTCATACTTATATTTATTTAATGATAAAATAAGTCACCTAAAACCAAATTGTTTATGTATGTCTCTGCTTTCAGGTTTTTTTTTCAGGAGAGGTGGTGGATACTTTTTTTTATTCCCCCTAGTTAGCTTCTAGATTTTCATTCGGCTGGTTGTTGGATCAAGGAATGAAGGATCTGGATGTTGTGTGACTGGATAGAGTCTCAACAATTTATATTTTTCTTTTTTTAACTGGCCTATCAGAGCAAGTTAAATAGTATAGCCCACTATTAGCTCCAAATCATCTATACCCAATGCAATAGCCAATTCATACAATAATTGCTTACTACACTATTAATATATGGTCCCACATGTCATACACACATTGCGTCTTGGAGTCCGTGCTGCAGCTGGCTACAGATTTGTAGCCCGCTGCTTTTTTCTCTCATCGTTTATCGCATTACAATATATTTATAGCTGGCTAATAGCCTACTATTGTACCTGCTCTCAATATCTGATGCACGCAAAAGATGAGAAGCAACACGTGTCAACAAATTGCTGCACGCCACATCCACCAATCAGAAGCCACTAAAACTACCGGAATTAGAAATATAGATAGCAAATGTGCCTATAGCCTAGTGGTTGCAATTGATTTGGTAGCATCTTAGGTTTTGGGTTTGACTCTCCATAGGAGCAAATTTGTGTATTTTTTATTTATAAAAATTTTGATTTTTTTATTTTAAAACTTTCAATTATAACTATAGTACTATAATTATAATATAATTATAATGTAATTATATACATTGTATCGTAACTTGAGCATAAATACAATGTAACTAGTTGACTAGTGTTGTTAGCTTCCATCCACGAAAGATCCATAGGTTGATTCCCATCTCACGGCATGCGGCGTGAAATTATTTCTTCAAACCCTAGCACGAATCTTAACACTCATATGACGACCCACAAACGGAAAGTTTTTTCTAAAAAGAAAAAAAATCTGGCGACAGTTGTTTAACAAATCCGTTGCTTTTTCTTCCAACGGTTAGATCGGGACACCACGTTCAAGATTACTCCACGCGTTGCGTACCGTTTCATGCTTGCTCCCGTGCACAAAAAGTCCGTGCCAACGTTGCAACCAATCTCTCGCCGGCGTTCCGCTGACTCGCGGAGCGATTTTATGCATAGTACAGCGTATATGAAAACTAAATTCTGAAATCTGGGTGACTGCAGGGTCTAAATTCCAGTCGCAAAATTGCACAAAATAGCATGGATCTGCCACAATTTTGCCGACCTCTCCCCAACTCTTTCTTACGTTGCAGATCTCTCGACATACCTACGTGAACTGGCTTCGTGGTATTTTGAAATTGCATCCCTCGGTTGTCTAGTACTCCGTTTTATATTATAAATCGTTTTGATTTTAACTATCAAACTTATGCAGATTTAACCAATTTTATATAAAAAAAGCAATATCTACAATATCATATTAGTTTTATTAAATATAATGATAAATATATTTTTGTTATATATTTGTTTTGTGTTAGAAATATTATTATATTTTCATATGAATTTGATCAAACTAAAAATATTTTATTATGAAAAATCAAAACGACTTATACATACTACTTAAGATAGATAATGTGCCAAGTTATATCTCTACTGTTATAAAAATTGAAGATGTTTTTTTGTCAGAATTTTGATACGTCAACCGTGTTTGATTTGGTTTGTGTGTTGGTTTTATAATTTTATCTTTTTTATCGCGGACACGTGGAAGACGAGCACAATGTCATGCGGTCCGATTCGCAATGGACTCGAATACGGGAGCAAACATGTCCGTCGCGTCGGATCAAATAATAGCCCGACTCATAAGTGGGCTTGCTTCTTTTTTTTTTTCACGTAGCTTGAGCATCACCAGAGCCCATCAATTGAAAGACCGCTCAGAAGCTGCCTGCGCTGGTCGTGATGTACAGAAGGGTTAGATTCATATATTGAGTAAATTTCA